GCCTTCCACATGCGGGCAGTCGACTAGGCTCCATGGAGGCCGAGACGATATGAAGGTCCCTGCCTGGGGAGGTGTGTCCTTGTAAATAGAAGATGTGCACAGAATGACAGATGAGGAGTTTGCAGAGGACACTTCTGGAGCCCGGAGGAGGGGCCCGAGCATTCTCTGTCCTTTTGGACGTGCCCGGCTTCTTTGCACTACAGGCCTGCACTCTTCCATCCTCTCTGCCTAGGACCTCTTCCCCTTTCCCTCTTCCTCAGAGGGTCCCATCCTGACTGCCCAGACTAAGTGGGCTCTCCTAAGGGCTAAAAGCACAGACAGGGATCCTGGCTCTGCCACTTACCAACGAGGTGACCTGGGGCCAGTTAAGTACCCCTGTTGGTCTCAGTTTCCCCATCTGTAAAATAGGCATAATACTGTTGCCTACTTCACAGGGTTGTTGTCAGCATTACATGACTTGATGTACGTGAAGATCTTAGAATGATGACCCACACACAGTAAGAACTGTCTAGATTAGCCATGTACACTATTTAATGCCTATCTCCCCAAACTAGACTAAACTTTTTAGTGTTGTAGCCCTTGTGTTGTTCTTCTGTGGCACATGATGAAAGTGTTGAATGAATGAATGAATGAAAGTGGTCACGGAGAAAGGCTGAGGTCGTGCAGGCCCGTGGGTGCCCTCTCAGCGGCTGTGCATTTTAACTGCTGTCTCTGAGTGGAGCCAGCATTGCTCTCTGTCGGGAGCAGGCTCTGTCACCCCTGCTACATATAAAGTATACATAAGTGGAGAGGGAGAAGGAGGCTACATGCCGTGTAGATATAACATGTAGATATCCGAGCGTCCTGAAGTATTTCAAGTGAACATTCATGGCGTGTCTCTCACATGTTGGTTTCTCTGCCAACTTCATTCAACCCTATGAGGCTGGTATTCTCTGCACGGCCCATTTACAGAGGAGGAAACTGAGGTTCAGACAGGTGAAGGCACCTGACCAGGGTCAAGGAGCTGGTAGGCTGTGAATTTGTTCTATTGCGCACATTCTGCCTTCCTCCTAGGACGCCACAACTTCCATGTCCCCAGTCATTCCTTCACGTCACCCTCATACTGTCCTGACTAGCAGGAGGGCAGAAGCAACCGGGCAGCTCCTGAGAAAAGCCCAGTAATTTTTACCTTGGAGGAAGGTCCTGGAAGGGATGATGAGACAAATATTGAAGTACAGGGCTTCATGGGATCTGCTTTCAGAGAACCCAGCGTCAACTGGATTGCTCAAAACTGCAGCCAAAAGAAATCCTTGTCCAGAAAACACGGGAAGAACGTTATCACTCACTATTTCTGTTCCTTTTTCCTTTTTCTTTCTCTCTTTTTTTTTTTATTCCTGTATCAAAGCCATGTGATGTTGTAAACCTGCCCCTGACGTGAGATTCCCAGACAGGGATACATCAGCGTGGCTTGTTTAGCTGTGCTCTGACGGAGCCTCGATTCTGTGTGCTGGAGGAGTGCTCGCCCGCAGGGAGCTGACCTCCTTAGACCCTGTCGTTCCTCCTCCGGCCATGCACATCACAGGTCTCCCTGGCCTTCCTCGTTTTAAAAGTGCACTTAGGACTCGTGAAAGGAGCTTGTCTTAGACCACCAACTCTTTGAGCAAAACACCCCGTCCTCCCCTGGGGCTATTCTGGCAACAAGTTGGTTGGTATTGCTGAGCGAAGCTGGTTTTGAACCAAGGGCTCGGAACCACAAGGCTCGGTAGCTCATTATTCCTCCCTTCAACCTTGGACGTGCTCCTCACATTGTGTTTCTGTGGTTTCCCCCACCAGAAACGCATACCCTAATTGCTAAAAAAGCCACCCTTTTAAAATAGCACTTAAATGGGATGAAATCTCACAAATGGAAGGAATTCAAATGTGTCCTTTGAAACACGATTCTGAGGAGCAGCTTTTAGCAGAGTCTTCCCGTCTGTGGACACTGATCAGATCCTGCAGGTACGGCCAGCCAGCCCCTGGTTTGCAAAGCTGTTTACTGTTTTCCCAACTCCCTATTTCTAGGCCTCTTTTCTGCACCTACACCCTCGAATCTTGCCTATTCCGAAATCTTGGGAGTTCTTTAGCAAATCCTTATCTCCAGAAAAAAGTAATGAAAGAATAAGGGTTGCTCTTTTTGTTCTGGATTCGTGAATCTGGATTCATGGGTTCTAGTCTGCATAGTTGCTTTGCCATTTGGAGAGTGAGGTTCAGCTGTTTCCCACATCCATGAGGACAGGATGTTGCAGGGAAAACTGGGGCGAGGAAATCTGGGGAAGTCTTTCTGTCCAGAGGCAATTGGAAGATGAAGTAAGTGCCCTTTCGAATTTCTTCTAAATTCTGTGTTGCAACATACAGTCATGTGTCACTTAACGATGGGGATACGGTCTGAGAAATGCATCATTAGGCGATGTCGTCATTGTGTGAACACTGTAGGATGTGCTAGTTGGTACAGTCTACTACACACCTAGGCTCTATGATACTAACTTCACAGGACCGTTGTTGTATATGCGGTCCATCGCTGACCGAAACATCTGTTGTTATGTGGTACATGACTGTATTTGAATCATGGAACAGATTATCAAGGGACGCTTGGTTTTGTTTTAAAATTATTTCTTATATATTAAGAATAAGATGGAATTGTTTTCTTATGGATTTATTTATGTAAATACTGATTGAACTTAAGAGAGCTGGTAGGGAGTAAGTCCCAATGTCGGTTGATTCTGAGAAAGCAGGGATGCCTGAGGGCAGAGGTGGATAATTTCTAAACATTGTCTTCAGATCTTAGCCTCTAATTGAATTGTTAATCAGCAGTTTTTATTCTCCAGTCCTTAGATTACAAAACATTATCTTAATTCAATTGAGGAACTCTCTCGTGGTGCACATCTAATTATTATTTAGGATATTTACATTGTTAAAAAACAAAATGTACAGCCGATTAAACTGGAAGATCTAATTGGCTTTATTAAATGATTCATGACTCGGGCAGCATCCTACCTAGCAGACAGAGGGGTGCTCTGAGGAGCTATACAAAACGGAAAGTTTTTAGAGGCAGAAGGAGGACAGGGTAAGGAAGTTATTAGCAAAAGAAAAGAATTGTTTCGGGCCAGGACATCTTCTTTTAGGGGAGGGGAATGGCAGGGGTTTCATCAGCCATATTCCCCCACTAGCACTAGTCAGGAAATTGCAGATCGACTGTTAAAAAGGTCACATTCCTGGAATGGGTTGAAACTGTAATTAAGTCTTGGGTTGCCGTGGTGGGGGCAGATGACTCCATTTTGGGCCTGTTATTTCTTTTTAAACAACATTTAGCTCAGAATATTAAAACCTACATAGTTTTATTCAGAAATACTTCCGAAATATTATCATTTCCAGTCAAAAGTAGAAAGCATTTTTTTGACTCATTGCAGAAACACATGATAAAGATAAACTAATGACTAAGAACCTTAAGCTCTTTAAGAAATCCAGACTCTAAAAAGAAATGGAAGGGGAAAAGGAGAAACAAGAAAAGTAGGATTCGGAACCTTTTATGAGAAGGCCACACAGTGAGGCCCATTTTAGTTCCCAGGGGATTCTTACCAGAAGTGAAATCCTGTGTTTTAACGCCTGGAAATGATGTAACCTTTCACTGATGGTAACACAACAGCTGGGAATGACCAACAGCTGCTTTAGGGAGCGCCTCAAACGGACAAATAGATGAACCAGGAGAGTCGTGGTCCTTCTCATCAACGGACAAAGCTCAACTTGCAAGTGCACGTTATTCAGTGCCTTCGTGGACGTGCAGCCGGGGAGGAATGGGTATGTCTCCCTGTGCTGGGAGCAGCCTGGGAGGATTTGGAGCAGAGACCATGGAACAGTCACATGACAGCCCCACGCAGCTTTCCTGGAGTTGACCCTGTGGATACAGGTCCAGTGTGTTTGTATTTTGTTCCTTTCAGTGAACCCCTGACTGGAGTTTGGGTAAGTGTCTGGGAACCCATCACCTTCACGTGATTTCCCTCAGTATCTCCAGAGAATGAATAGTACCCACCAGGTTGCATTATCTTCTCTGTCCTTCAAGATCCTTTTCTAGGAACTGCTTGTTCGTTTCATCCTGCAACCCTGTTATATTTCCAAGAAACAGATAAACATTCTCAAAACATCATAAAGTTTATATCGTTAGTATAAATGGTGGTCTGTATTTCAATGTCATATTCAAAATTGAAAAAACAATGAATTTCAAGTTCTCTTTCATGAGCTGTTTTTGCTAACAAGTATTACTTCGCATGTGACTGTGGTAATTCTGAATGATTCCTGAATGGACTATTCTGAACTGAATCAGCACATAAATTCCAAATTAATTCTGAGCAGAATTTTTTTTAATCCCTTTGAATAGGTGAATGATGATGAGGAAAGCTATTGGTACCTGTAGCAGTTCCAATCTAATGGGGAAGAAAGAACAAATCTTTCTAATACAACTCTTCCACTATAATATAAGTGTTAAAAAATGTTTGTCATAAATTACTTGGTTAGCCTTAGTGTACTTCCTGTTCTCCTCTACAAAATGAGGGTTCCTCAATTTTCTTTTTTATAAATCAGAATCAAGTGGACACGAGGGTTTTTAATTATCTTTAGTTGCATAACTTTTTAGAATTTAAAAAATTTTCCTTTTTTAAATCTAGTCCACTCTACTACCCCAACATGAGGATGTGTATTAAGAAGGTTATTATGACATTTTTCAGATGAAGAAACTGCAATATGTTGTGCAGTAAATGTCTTGTGTACATGTTCAAATAGTACTGGTTCAAGAAGTAAGACTGATCTTATGTTTTCTAGTTTAGAACTTAGACGACAATATCACACCAGGGTACTAGGTAGCTTGTATAATTTAACTAGAAAGTGACAAAGCACTGTGACAATCAAAATGGAATAAAATATTTGTGTAACAATTATTGATGACCATTTGAGAGCCAAGAATAATTTCATTCCTTGTTTTCCCCTTTTAGGTTCTATAAATGAAAAGTTACCTCCACGGGAAGGCACAGGAAAAACAGGTAACTATCTTAAAATGAATTTTCATGATGATCTATTACAGCTAATCCAATCTGGGCCTTAAAATAACTTCTCAAGTTAAAATTGAAACATATACTAGTGATGATAATGAGAGCTGAAGCAGTTTGTTAATTATTTATTCATTCAACAAACGTCTATTCAATGCTTAGGATTGCCAGGTACGTGTAGGTGCTGGGCATGCCATCTGCCCACTTGTGTCCCCACAGGGCTTCTGACTTGGCTTGTGTTGGGACCATCTGTAGATGTTGTTAGGTGCTATCCGAGAGTCCGTACCAGTGGAGGGGACTCGGATTTGGTATTTTGGCTCTACATGTAATTCTAAAACATATCAGTTGTTGAGGGCCACTGATAAAGATGTCTCAACTCCTCCTCATATGGAAGAGGAATAATTTTCCCACCTGTTACAGTCACTTCTCTGGGGCTGGTGCCAACAAGAACCAGATAGAACAGTTAGCTGTTTCCTTTGGAACCACTCTATGGCATCCAAGCCCATCTCTTCTCTCTGACCTGCCATGAGTCCTATTCTGTCCCTGTGCCCCTTCCTCAGTGATCACCCTTTGGACCCAGTGACACATTTTCATCTTATATCAACCTTTAAAATAAGAAGTCATTTTCAAAGTGAAATCAAAAGAATGCTTTAGTACCAAAATCTTTGGCATTTTTTTTTTCTGATGTAGGTTGGAGTATATGAACCAGTAATAAAGAAAAGTAGTTTAAAACCAAATAGAATCGAGTTTTATTCAACCCAGTTCTATAAAATCAAATAGAATTGAGTTTTGTTCAACCCACTTCTATTAATTGTGTGCTGAAACTATGGCGGGCACTGTTCTGCCCTGGAAAGATGGTAGAATCTCTTTGTATTATTAAGATAAATACATGGGATAGACACAAACTGGCAGGGAGCAAATGTCAACCGTGTAGAGAGCACTCAATGAGGGTTTAGAAGAGGGAAGAGTCGATGGAGTGGTTTCATGGAAGAAGAGGTATTTGAGTGGACCAGGGTGGGTGTGAAGGTTGGGCCAGCTCTAATGTGGAGCAGAAAACCTCACAGTTGACGAAAATAGCCCATTTTCAAGGTGGAAGAGAGTGACAGGCAGGCGTAGTCAGAACACTGGCTTGAGGGAAGGTTTACCTTCAGACAGGAATGAGCTAAAGTTGCACAGAACGTTAGAGTGAATTGCTTGGCTTTGAGTCTATAAGACACTGGGGTGGGCATATCAATATATTTAGAGAAGAGGAAGTGACAATATTCGTGATTAGAAAAACCAATCACAATAGATGTTAGCTCAGAGCCGGTCTTCCTCAGCAAAAAGTGGAGGATTAGCATGGATGTTAGCTCAGGGCTGATCTTCCTCACACACACACACACACACACACACACACACACACACACAAAACACAAAAACAATCAAATGCTGAAAGGGAGGAGGAGGAAGGAAACACTATTTCAGAGGGCACTCCCTCATCCTGCTCATTGTGATGCCTGCTGAATCCACTGTAAAAATTTTTTTAAAAAAATCCCTGAAGAATTGGCATGTGGGCACAGAAAGGAATTTAAGACAAAACACATTCCTTCTCCTGAAGCCCCTTGATCTAAAATGTGCATGTAATGTAGGAAATACCTGAACTTAAGCAACAAAGCTGGCTTATGGATAAAAATGAGACGTTTTATAAACTCTAGTAGAGGGAAAATGAAGAGCACGCAGCTCTCCACAGTAGTGTTTCATTTTCTCAAGGCTGAGCTCAGTAGCTGCCAGTAGGTTTTGTTACATTGGGACAGAACTATTCAAGGGACCAGGGCATGGATGGTGGCCTGAGGAGGGTCATGCTGATGGAGGGAAGATGGCCACAGGGGGACAACAGAACAGCCTCTGGTGCTGGAATTAGCAGTAGGAGGAAGGGAAGCATGAGGCACGCGCGCATCGCTGTCCTCTCACCTTGCCCTTGGCTCACCTAGTTAGCTGGGCTGAGCCTTCAGTCTAGCACAGACCCAGTTATTTGGGAGCAGGCTGATGGCCCCAAAGTGGCGACCTGCTGAGACCTCAGCAAAAAGGCACAGCACTGATAATGCACTTCATTGCTGTCATTCCAAAAGACTTGTAAGTGTGTTCTTTAAAGACTTTTTCTCAGCTTGTTCTTGTAAGACTTTCAAATATGTTAAATATGTTTTAAATATGTTCCCCATTTGATTTAGTTTCTTGGAAGAAGTTTACAAAATATTCAATAGCAAAATACTTTCAGCTTACGGTTACTATCCATATTAGACTTGGACATCTCAAATAAAAGATGTTACATTTTGTCACTATTTTGACAAATAGCAAACCCTTTTCAAGAGATTGTTCAAAGTTAAAGATTTTTTAAAACTTCGTTTTGGTTTTCCCCTGAAAAGATCTTATGAGAAACCTCATTTTTATTCTTCAGACAGCTGGGAAAGTATGAATCACAGTTGACTAGATAAGCCCCTTATCTCCGCCCCGGTTTGTCTTTTGACCCTGAAATTACTATCTAACAAAATCACATGCATGAGCTTGAGTGAAACACACTAGGCTGGTTCTTGGAGCCCCAAGAACCTTGTAATCGCATCCCTGCGAGGGCCCCACTTGTCTGGAGTGGGCCTTCTAGAAGCTCAGTCACTGTGTTGTCCTGTCTCAGAACTCTTTAAAACCTTATACTTTACCAGAGAACCCAAAGTGTGTTTTTCAACCAAATAAACATAATTCATTTGGGATGTACGTCTTCAATGAACCGATGTAGAGTCCTTTCGTAACACACTCTGCTCTCCTCCATTCCCTGCCGCTTCCACTCTTGGCCCCTCCACCCCGACCCTCCCCTCTCCCCCACACCTCAGTCTCTCAGATGTGTCACTCTACTGCACAAGTGCACGGAGGGGGCCTGAAGGTGTGTAGAGATGCACAGGGCAGCAGTTCACTGAGGGATTCTTTCCACTCAGGAAAGTAGGGCTATGCCAAGGAGATCTGCCTTTCCCCCACCCCATGCCCACTCCCGCCACGCTCTCTGTCTTCCTATATCATCCAGTGACCTAAACTCACTGACTTTTCTGACCTGAGTTTCCATTCCTTTTGCTACATTTCCTTGCTCGTGTTATTTCTGTCTCTTCCTCATCCTTCCTGTGCCTACTAAGGGCTCTGAAGTTTTAGAACCACACCTGACATTTCCCTCATGGAGCTGTGTTCTGAGCCTTGAGCCGCATCTGAGAGCAGCAGCTCACTAGAGCATCCCTGTGTTGTTTCAGTCAAGCCCCTGTCTCAGCGTCCACTTTTACATGGGTCCTGGGTTGTGGTTTGGGTTAATTGGTGGGGGCTGTTTGCAAATCCTTAGCATCCATCCTGTATGCACACTTACTTAACTTACTCTCATAATTGTAGTCTCCTTGCAAATCTTTTCCGTTCTGAATTCAGATGATGCCTCAGCTCCTGCGTTGGAGACTCAGCCTCAAGGAGATGAAGAAGGTGAGCCCAGGACAAAATAGGGTCTTGTGGGGGAGTAGAACAAGGGTGGTCACGGCCCCAGGGAAGTAGAGTCAAGTCATCTTGCTAGAACTCCACCCAAAATGAACTGGATTTGGCCATTTCCAACTTTGTGGGGGCACCCACTACCTTTCCTGATGGCTTTGGAGCAAGACTTTTGAATGTTGCCATGCTGCTTTCGTATAGCACACCGCAAAGGCCTTTTTTTAAATCAAAACCTCTGAGTTGAAATTTTATAATTGGATAATACAAAATATATATTTCAAAAGGGTGCAATAGTCTATGCCATTCCCCTGTTCATCTTTCATGTCTGTCACGTTGTGTGTTCACCACAATGTGGTGAGCTTTGTAAAGTCCCGTGTACACAAGATGTTTCTCCCGTCTGCTTCAGTGTGGTTCTCAGGCACTTAGTATGACCAATCCACACTGTAAATATTGAATTATATTTTTTAGATAATTTTACTAATAAAGATATGTTCCTGAAATGTTTTAGGCAAGAATTGTATTTTACATCTTGCATGTTGTATTGACCCTTTCAGCTGAGTGAAAACCCTGTAGGTTACGTGAATATCCTTCTTTACCACACAAGCATATGTTTCTGTATAATGAGGCTTTTTACTAAAACCTGCTTCTTTCAAGTGGAGGCTGTCTGGATTCATATAATTTTATTTACACTTTTGGATGAAGAAAGAAAGAAAAAAACACATGCTAAAAATTTTTTTAAATGTATATTATTATTTCCTTTTGTCTCATGCACATAATTGTTTTAACTATTTCTTTAAAAATGTATGATATGTATTTATTTATTATACTGATTTTTTTTAGCTGTTAGGCTACCTGCTGAAATCTTTAATTGAGAAACTGTGTTTTCATGATGAACTAAAAACAATTATCATTTTATTTTGGTTTATTAGATATTGCATCACGTTACCCTACACTTTGGACTGAACAAGTTAAAAGTCGACAGAACAAAACCAATAAGAATTCAGGTAAAAATGGGCCTGATGTCGCTTTGTAAGGACTGATTTAAGAGACCTAGAAAGTGGTTTGGTTTTCTTGAAGTTAAGTGTATAGCCCATCTTTTTCCTTGGTTACCAATGAGTCGTGCAAATAATTCTTACGACTTGACCACCAAAATATAGTTCAAATTTTGGTGTTTTTATTAAATTTTCTAAGTTCTTTCAAAGGTTTCTCAGTATATGCCAAGCTAACTATAGTTTTAGTCATAAAAATGGAAATATTTGATAATAAGTATTTGCTTTTGACCTAATTTCAGAGATGTCAAAACACTTGGCTAATTTAGCTCAAAATCCTTAAAACTGCGTGGATTGCATTTGCTACAAAAAGATTTAAAACAGACTGTTTTGACATTTTGTGGACAGGGAATGGGTCCCTTCATGTCTGGTTAGTGACTGTCGCTGGTTCCATGGAAACTGATTCTGTAATTTTCATTCACCCTCTCAGTTGATTGCATGTATGCTTCCTCTGGCCTTTTCAAATGAAGTTTTTCATAAATTCTTATCGGAAGAAAGCAGTCATTCTAGGTTTAAAGTATTGAGCTGCTGAGGGAGCACAGGCTAAGTAAAAACATGAATTTTCTGTGATCGACTTCGGGTGAAAAAATTGCCAGCATTCACAAAGGCAGCCTCAGCATTCGAGCTTTGTTCCTTGTGGTTACGTGTTTTCCTTCTAAGTGCATTTTTAATATCCATTTACCTATGGACATCAAAATATTTATCAACATTCTGGATGCTAAGAGTGGTTTGATTCTGTTTCCAACCACCTATACCCCTTACATACACACCCAACAAAGGAGTCTTGATGGGAAATGCCTGAGTCTTGATATTTCGCCAGCTACCTGGAAGCCCCAAGATGGACTCTGGTGCAAATGTTTACTGATTTACAACAGTGAAAGGCACCGTGGATAATGACCCATGCAGGTGCAATAGCAGGGTTGGATGGAACAGGCCTGGTACATTCTTCTTGCCTGGTTTCTTCCTTACTTGCCACCTCCAACCCCAGGATCTTAACTGGCCAGCTACATCCTGTTACTGCCAAGAACGTTCCCTTCATCCCTCTCAGCTGCCGCGCCTGTTGGGCTGAGATGAGGAAGGGAAGAATCCCTAGGTATGACTATCAGATGCATGTGTACAAATGGCAGGGAAATTTAAAACATATTTATAGAATTTGTAAAATCTTTTTCTCAGAAATTACTGTTATGGATAAGTTTCCTATTGCTTAAAAATATTAACCTGTATACTTCTCTTATGCACTTTAGAAACTGAGTTAGTTTTGTTCAATCTTGTCACTATATTTCCAAAAGATATTTGATTTGCTTCTATATCATGTAGATTAGTGCATGGGAAATTAATTAAAACATTGTATGTTTCAAATTTACTGTTGGATCTTGAAAGCTTCTCATGGGAGAAGCAATGTGGCAGTACCTAAACTTAATTTGAGAAGCAAATATAAAATTATTGTAAACAATGTCACTGGAAATGTGCATTTTTTAAAAAGCAATTTTAATTGTTGGTGACCAGCTATTTCGGGTTTTGACAGAGTAAGTTCCGTATAAGCTCATGGAACAAGTGCAGTTTTGTGTTTCATCCATCACTTGCTGTTAGCAGATTTTCAGGCCTTAAGTTACCTGTCAATTATAATTATGCAATAAAAACAGTGCAGGCTTTCAGTGTTTGGTGGGACTGAAAATAATGTTTCAGGAAATTCCAGTTTACATAAGTTGCCCTACACTATAATTTGATTTAAATCAGGCTAAATGAGTGGAACACAAAAAGATGACATTCAGTTGATTTATAGACATGGGGCATGAAATTACTGTGTTATATTTGTGTTTAACATCGGTTGTCCAGACACCTGTCCTTTCTGAGTGTCTGAAGAAAGTCAGACCTAGTTGGTATTTTAGGATATTAAAATACTGTTTAATTTATTAAGTTTAACAATGAAATGGCAAACTGCATGGGTTTACATCATGACCACTGTTGTCACTGAGATTTCAAAATGTCAGAAGAGACATTTATATTTAATTTTATTTAATTTTTCTTTTTTGGTGAGGAAGATTGGCTATGAGCTAACAGCTGTGCCAATCTTCCTCTATTTTGTATGTGGGACGCTGCCACAGCATGGCTTGATGAGCAGTGTGTAGGTCTACGCTTGGGATTTGAACCTGCGAACTCTGGGCTGCCGCAGTGGAGTGTGTAAATTTAACCACTACACCACTGGGGTGGCCCCCTAATTTTAATTTTAAAAGATACTTTTACTAATAGTCTTCTTTGGTAGAAGTAGGCACATTTATTGAACAAAACATAAATAATTTATGACATTTATTATTTTGTATTTAAAAAAAATTTACCTTATTTTTCAGTACTTCTTCATGTTCTTTTACAGAAAAGGCCAAACTGAGAATGCATTGCTTTTTTTCTCTGATGTTTATTTATATAAGTTAAGAGTAGTATTTTTTACCCATGAGTTCGTATTAAAATAATATAATATTACTTTTGTTACTAAATACATAGAACATGATTGCCAAGCATAATGAGTGCATATCTTGTGGATATGGTCAAATATGCTTTGGAGCATATAACAATAGTAGTTTTTTAGGAGGGAATATTCTCACAAAGGAGGATAAAGTAGTCCTCATCTATGAGAATTTACACATCATAGGCACTCAATAAATGTTTACGTATTAAATTAATAAAGAGTTTTATCATCATATGTTCCATTGGCACTCTGATGGTACCATAACTTTTCTTTCTCTAAAACAAACTAAATGAAACAAAAAATAAATAGATAAATAACTAGAAAAGAGAGCTAATCTAAGTACCATTACAGTTTGACTGCTGGACTTTTATTAATTAAAATTGAATATAAATAGAAATTAAATATTTTTCTGTTGGTTCATTTAGCAAGAAGAGCATCACTTTTGTTACGTAAGCCTATATACATTAAATAAATGAGTCAAAAATCTGAACTTGCATTTTACTTAAGAATGTAGTACTCAATTTTTCCTATCAATATATAATTGAGCATGTCAATTTATTTCTTTACTTTTTAAAATCATCTTATTATATTCAGTTTTGTTATTCTATTCAAAGAAGATACAAAAATTGATTACAAAATTTTACCAGATAAGAGGTTTTGTAACATATTGTCTTTTAGAGGTTCTGTAACATATTGTCTTTTAATTATATAAAATTCATTCATATATCTATTTATTAAACCAACACTCTTTCCCTGTGGTGCATTAAATGCATAAAATCATAACACTTTAAAACAAATTGAGGGGATCTCACCTACAGGGCAAGGAGACACTGAGGCTCATGTAACAGCTTCTTCATTACAAGCACCATTTGCAGTCACTCACCTGGGTAACGTGACTTATGGGAAGGAGAGCTCAGAAAGAATGAGAAGTATAATTAATGTAAGGCTAGCTTTGCAAAATTTTGGTAGAAAGATTATTCAATGGGATGCATTAATTGAAAAATAATCCTTAAACTGATTGTGTTCATATTTATGTCTGTGTGATTTTTTTCAGGCTTCATTATCTTTTATTAAAAAAAATGAGAAACAGATTAGTCATCCTATTTACAAGTGTCATAATCTTTTACAAAAATTAGGAACCAGATTATCACCATCATATTATCTTTTCCTCTAAGTAGGCAGATCTCTTAAATTCATAACAAAAAACTTATGTTAATTTCTATCAACTAATTAGTGTTGTTATGGACCTTACTATGGATCTATTGTTATACCTGGTGTTGAATAAAATGTAAAAGGAGTAAGGGATAGGTGTCTGAACTAAGAAACTTCTGTGAAAGTATTTTTGTACTAGAAACAAAAAGCCAATATTGTTTGAAATATGTAGCACTGATTAGGATAAAAAATGGAGTTTGGGGAACAGCAGGTGAAACCAGGATCGATTTAGATTGATGTAAATTATGCAATTTTAGAGCTAGAATGGATCCTAAAGATTATTTAGCCCAGCCTCATCATTTTACAGATTGAAAGAAAAAGAAAAACAAATACTGAAGCTCAGAGAAGTTGAGAGGCTTGTTCGTTGTCACAGCGCAGGGTAATGACTCAGTGCTATTTCTATGATTTCTTCAAGTTATCAGTTAGGTTTTATGGAGAAGCCAAGCCTTCAGATATACCTTGCATAATGGATAAAATTAATGAAATTATGGGGCTGGCCCAGTAGCGTAGTGGTTAAGTTCGAGCACTCCACTTCAGCGGCCCAGGGTTTGCAGGCTCGGATCCTGGGTGCAGACCTACACGCTGCTCATCAAGCTATGCTGTGGGGGCATGCCATATACAAAAATAGAGGAAGATCAGCACAGATGTTAGCTCATCGACAATCTTCCTCAAGCAAAAAGAGGAAGATTGGCAATAGGTGTTAGCTCAGGGCCAATCTTCCTCACCAAAAAAAAAAAAAAATTAATGGAATTATGGAACCTTAAAACTAAAAGAAGTCACAGAGTCCACCTCATTCAACCCATTTAATTTAACAATCGAAGAAACAGATGTCGAGAGAGGCAATGTGACTCACTAGAGGAAGCACAGGTGTCTATGTATTTAAAAATGTTCTGTTCATTAAGAAGAAGCCAAGTTGCAAAGATATAAACATCTAACTGAGACTGTTCCCAGTTATCTGAGAGCCTTCTTCTTGGGATGAACCCTCATGAAGTTGAAGAGACTTCTGGTTATGTGCTTCACATAATTCCCAGTTGTCACTGCATTTCTAGTGTGCGTGTTCCTCGTCAAAGCTTGACCCTTGGACCTCACTCTTCTAGTCCCTTTAACTCTGCCTCCAGGCCTAGATGTTTCCCTCCGAGAACACGCAGGGCTGCCAGCCACCCTCCTTAATCCACAGGACTCACCCTGCTGGCTCTCTGTGCCACTCGTGTGCCCCACGCTCCAGCCAAGGATTGCCCGTGTCTTCAATATCCTCGTTACCTTCCAACATAATTAACAC